ATCGACTTCCAGGCAAGATAGCGGTGTAAATACAGGGATCCGATGATGACCCTTTCCATTTTCAATTAAAACATCCAATCAAATAGAAAAAGTGTGCATTTTTTTCTAAACATATGTGACTGAAAATCAGGACAGGTTGAACAGAAAAAAAAAAAAAAGATTTGGCACTCATTAGCATTTTAATGGAATTGAAACCAAGGAAATGGATGAGTGAAGAGATATGAATTGGTTCAGAAATGTCAAGTAAGATAAGTGTCCACTGGATTTCACAACAAAGATATTAGAGATGACATTGCAAATACAACTTTGTAAAATGGTAGAGGAAAAGGAGAGATTTTTCGTTGAGTGGAGAACTATGCCTGTAAAGGGAAAGTGAGCTCAAGCAGTAGCAGGACCAGGATGCGATCTATGGAAGGAATTTATTGTTCACATGCTGGCTTTTTAGGACAAGAAAAAATGTGAGCATGTTTAAATGCTAAAGTAGAGAAAATGACTTGAAACTATAGATAGAAGGTGGATATCTCATGGAAGTTCCTGAGGAAATATGGAAGGGCAGTAAGAATCCAGGGCAAAGGCATAGCAATTGTCATCTGCTAAGAAGAAAGACGACATAGCCAGAGCCGGATAACATCACCTCAAAATATTTAAAATGCAAAAATTTCATGGTACCATGAAAAGGTATAGAGATGTTACAGAAGAATGTGAAATATTTCTATTACAACAAAAGCTATCAAATCAACAAAATAAATTAAACAGAGAGAATCTGGAAAATAAAATGAACATATGTTGCCCAAGGAAAGGTGTTTCAATCATTTTCCATTAACCTCCATACAATTATCACACAGAAGTTAGAATAATAGTGTTTGGTTGAATTAGAGATGTCTGATTGCTTTAAGTTGTTTTCAGAAGGAGAGATACTATAAACTTTCTTTATCTAGTGGATAATCTATTCTCAAGGCTTTAAGCACTAGCTATTCCACTATAGCCTGACAGTTTTATGTACAACTCCAACCTCCTTTCTGATCTGTGGACTTCCTACACAATCAACTTCTTGACATTTGTGCTTAGATATCTCATTTTAACACAGTTATCTTGAAACATAATCTGTTCACAAATCCTGTTCCTTCAGTCTTTTTTCATTTTTGTTAAAACTGTCACGTTCTAGCTAGTTGCATTCATCCAGAAGACATCTTGTCTGTTTTTCTCCTTCTTCCCGCTTTACCTTTTTCACCAAATCTTGATAATTCCATTTTAAAAATACATACAACAAAGCTTCTATTTCTCTGCATTTTGACTGCCACTTTCCTAAATCAAGCCATTATCATTTCTCAACTAGGATTACTATCATTTCCTCTTTGTTCATTTTTTCCACTCTTTAATACATTCCGCACAGATCAAGGAAGTCTGGGGAATTTAAAAAAAAAATATTTATTTATTTATTTGAAAGAGTTACAGAGAGAGAGAGAGGGAGATACAGAGAGAGATATTTCATCTGCTACTTTATTCCCCAAGTGGCTTCAACAACCAGGGGCTGAGCCAATCTGAAGCCAGGAGCCGGGAACTTCTTCTGCCTCTCCCAAGTGGGTGCATGGGCTCAAGCACTTGGGACATCCTCTGCTGCTTTCCCAGGCACATTCACAGGGAGCTGGATAGAAAGTGGAACAACAGACACAAAACTGTGCCCATAGGGGATGCCAACATCACAGATCACAGCTTACTAGGCCACAATGCTGGCCCCATGAGAGATTTTTTTTTTCTTTTTTGATAATGCAGATCTCTTCTGGCTTCAGTGAATAAACTCTATTAAGGCAATACATTCCTGTTGCATTTATAATGAAGTATAAGGGATTTAATATAGTTTTTAAGTCCTGTAAATGGCACCAAAGTTAAACCATACTAGCATCACCACCAATTGTAGATGCTTCTCACACAAACCTACAGATCTGGGGAGGGCAGGGTTATGTTTGTTGTAATAATTATTCTACTCATACAGTGTCTTACAGAGTGATCAGCACATGGGGTGAGTTAATATTGAATAACTGAATAAATGAATGGTTGTTTGTCATTAGGATACACTCTCTTGTAAGCAGCTGGAAAAGGAAGTCCGGTACAGGAAATGAGACACTGTCATTGAAGGGCCCAATAAAAGACCTTTAACATTAGGGCAAGCTACCTGGCTCTCTGTTTATTTTCCAAGATTTGCTCGCTTATGTATTCTGAGCTGTGTTTTTACTCTTTGCTGGAATATGTGGTTAGGTTTGGTTAGTGTGATACCTGGGAAAACATGGATGATTTATGTATTTATTTGGTTTTGGGCTCTAAACAATACATATTCCAAACAAACAAAAGAAAAATGACCACCAGACTGTCTTGTTCACAGGATTTCTATGTTGGGTTTAAGTCCACACCTTTAGAGAGAGCTAGGGAAATTGAAGGATTTAGGTAACTTAAATGACTATAAAAAAGACACAGGCTAGTTCAATGGGTTTGGTGGAACTGCAATTCACATTACTCTAAAGGATTTTAAATCTGGCTCTGCACTGTACACGGCCACCTCTTCCTCTTCTGGATCTCATTCTTTTTGCTGCCTTTCTTGTATTAACACACAGTGGATATGCAGGAAAAGGAAAAGCACATATTATCCTTCACTCAGGTAGTAATAATGAAAAATCTGGGTCCCATTTTTTTTTAATGTCAGAGAATGTCACTTGAGAAACATTATTTTTCATTCTAAGATTATGTTTACACCCCATCCTGATAAAGAATGTGACTTCTATCCTCACCCGTCATGCTAATAGGAAATATGAAGAAAATACAGTAAAAGCAAAGGAAAAAATCCTTAAAATTCACATACTGAATGTTCATGTCTTACTACATAGGGTTCAATTTCTTGCTTTCTTCCCTATTTTTCAATAGCAGAATAAGTTATTACCTATTTTTATTCTTTGTCAATTTTAATGGGTACTGGGGGTGAAGAGCAATGAAATGTGTTGGTATAAATCATGGTCTTAATCCAGATACCTCCAGAATCTGTTTTAAAGAAGGAAATTCGATAACATTCCATTTTGTGCATTTCCCATGTCATTATATATACCTCAAGGCATGATTTTTAATACCTTTGTAATATTCCTTAACCTGAAAGTATAATGATTTATTTAACATTCTCCATGCTGTGGGTTATTTCAAGTTGCTTCCAATTATGTGTTATTATAAATAATTCCTCCATGAATATCACTGTACATAAGTCTTTGTCTACATCTCTGTTTATTTCCTTAGGATATATTTATTAAAGTAGAACTACTGTGTTAGTGGCTCTCAATATATATTTTCAAGAGTCTTTTCAGAAAATTAGCACACCTCTCCATTTAAAAGACACAAGTGTATATGTCAGGAATATTATAATTCATCTAACTGCTTACATGACAGTAACATTTTATCATATCTCTATCATTAAATCACCTTTATGCTTTCAGGATCATTTGTTTATGCCCGTAAGCTTCTTTTCTAATAGTATGTTGTAACTTTTTCTAATTAGCTTGCAGTAGTTCTTAATATGTTAACTATATTAATCATTTCCAAATCTTACTTCTTTTTCAAATGTTTTAGCTTTATGATGTTTATAGTTATTACTTATATGCAGAATTTTCTCCTTTTAAAATTTAGTCAAATATATTCATATTTTTGCTTTTAGCTGATTAAAATCATATTGAAATTTATTATATGTGACTTGATACATTTTTAAAAATTGCTTTTGAAATTTTGTATTTTCACATGTAATTATGCAGAGAGTAATTGACAGACAAGATTTCACAACTGCTGACTCATTCCCCAGATGCCCACAACGGACCCAGGCTGGGCACAGGGCAGAGTTGAGAGCTGGGAATTTTGTTTCTTATGTAGCTGGCAAGATCTCAATCACTTGTTGCCACCAGCACTGCCTCCCAGTATCTGCATTAGTTGCAGTCAGGATCAGGAGTTGCATATTGAACCCAGAAACTCCAATATGGTACATAGGTATCTGAACAGGTATCTTAACTGTTAGGCCAAACATCCATCCCTATGTGTCACTATTTAATCCATCTAGAATGTCTTTTGGATTTGTGCTTAACATGGGGATGATTTTAAGGTTCTCCAGGAACATAGAAGAAATAATATATCTACAATGAGAGGTAGGTACAGAAAATAATTTAACTAGCTTACTCATACCATTTTGGAGACTGGCATGTTTGAAATTTTTAGAGGTGACCAACAGTCCAGAAAGTTAGGTAAGTGTTGACAATTTGATCACAAGCCCAAAATCTGCAAAGCAAACTTCTACTTTGAAAATCTGAGGCAGAATTTATTTTCTTTGGAAAAACTTCATTCTATTTCCTTAATGCCCATCCACCACATGGAGAGTAATTTCTTATACTTCAAGTCAATTAATTGTAATTGTTATTCATCTCAACTAATATCTCCACAGCCACATCTTGACTAGAGTTTAACTCTGAACACTGGACACCAAAGTCTGGCCAGGCTGACATATAAAGTTCATATCAGAAGCATGTACACTTATATTGTATCTATAATGAGATAATTTTATATTTGTTCATCATCTCAACCTATCCTATAATTGTGTGTGACCTATTAAAGTCTTGTGTGTTTTTCCACTTTCATGTTCATATTCTGTAACATGAACACTATTATCATCTATTGAATCTTTGTAAAACGTCTGTCATATCTGAAAGGTAGAAAATTCATCTTTACATAATTTTAAAAGTGTGCTTAACTCCATCTAATGTTTTCCAGTTTACATGGAATAAAATTCAAAGTCATCATTTTAAAAAAGTCATATATTTATTTTTATTTATTTAACAAGTTTCTGAAGAAAGTGCTACAATAAAAACAAACTAGATTCAATAGGACTAAGTACTGATACTTGAGCACCTGTAGGAAAATGCACATGGAAAACTATAAACCACACAGCTTTGAAAGACCATCTATTATTTAACAACGTAAATATCCTTGCCAAAGAATGGTCTCAAAAAATTGGCTTAAAACTCAGAGTAGTTCCTCTCCACAGAAATCTTTAGTGAAAGGGGGAAGATTTGTACAATCTGAAGGGAAAGCAAAGCATCTCAAGTCCTTGGCATGAACCACAATACCTATGATACTGTGGTCCTCCATTGCCTTTCTGACATCAATACCTCATTCATTGTGTTCTTTCCACAGTATTGTTCATGGCATGCACATTTACTCACATTCTTTCACTTAGTGCTTATATTCACATGACTCCAGCCCTGATTTCATTCTCAAATACCACTTCACTGCAAAGAGTGTTCCTGCTGTCCTATATAAAAAAAATCACTATTTCCTGTGTCAGAATGAATCTGTTAGACCTCAGACCCGCTCGTATATTCTCTTCTATATCATTGAAACTGAAAGTTTCCAAACTGTACTTCTCATTCTTGTTTTTAAAGATTTATTTATTTATTTGAAAGGAAGAGTCACACACAGAGAGAGAGGCAGAGAAAGAGAGAGAGAGATATCTTCCATCTGCTGGTTCACTCCCCAAATGGCCAGGAGGCAGGAGCCTCTTCCTGGTCTCCCACATGGGTGCAGGAGCCCAAGGACTTGGGCCATCTGCTGCTGCTTTCCCAGGTCACAGCAGAGAGCTGGATCTGAAGTGGAGCAGCCGGGACTTGAACCAGTGTCCATATGGGATGCCAGCATTGCAGGTGACTGCTTTGTCTGCTATGCCACAGTGCCAGCCCCTGGACTTCTCACCTTTCATTGCCAGCTAGTTTCCTTGATATTTTACAGGAAAGAGATAGTAACTAATGCCCCCGGAGGGTGGGAAGACAGCACAGTCAATCCGCTACTGATGGCTCCTTCTATGTCAGCAAGAAGCACAGCAGCATCAGTAAGCTCCAGCTCACCGAAGCAGAAGGATTTTTAAATTAATTTTTAGTTTTAAATAGCCTATTTTAATATGCATTATAGTCAAAGGATTAACAGTTCTACCAAATAGAGTCCAAAAAATTAACAATAAAGATCATAGCCCAGCAGGAAAACAGGCAATGGCTATAAACCATAATCAAAATGATGTTCAACATCATTCACATAAATTTTAACATAGTCACAAAATCATTAATATTACAGTAGTACATAATTCCTTTCAATTTGTCTGACAAATATTTAAAACAAAGTTTCACCAAGCACTGCATTTGCTACCAAATAGATGCACATCAGTATTTCCTTTTTTTTTTTTTTTTTTAATTTTAGCTCCCACACGCAAGGGAAAACATGTAGTCTTTCTGTGTCTGGTTTATTTCATTTAAAATGATAATCTCTAGTTTCAACCATTTTGCTGCAAATTATAGAATTTTATTCTTTTTAAAGCAGGATATATTCAGTGTGTGTGTGTGTGTGTGTGTGTGTACATATATAGCCCCCACATTTTCTCTATCCTTTCACCTGATGATGGATGCCTTGATTCAATCCATATTTTGGCTATTATGAGTAGTGTTGCACACAATGTTTACAGCAGACACACTGTGATCTCCCATAGGCATGTGCCTTCAGTAGCATTGGTGACAGCAGCTCCAGAGCATTGGCAGCACTAGCTAACAGCTCCAGTAATTACAGTAGCGACGCACTGCTACAATATCTCAGCAGCATCTTTAGTAAGGACTTCCCACTATTAACACAGAAACAATAGCAGCTGCCTTTTCACAGGGTAGCATTCTTTTTTTCTTTTTTGTATTTTCATCTGATGACAACTTCAGTTCCTTTCTCACTGTATCTTAAGATATATCTTTAAATATATCTTTTTCTTTTTGCAATCCAGCATGGGATTGGTAGGAGCTTCCTGGTCCATAGTTAAGATAGTGTTGTCATTTAGGTCCTGCAGTTTTTGTAAAGGTTTAGCATAGGTTGCATGTTTTATCACCCCCTATTTGAAATATCAGTGTGATTTGTATTTTCCTGATCATGGACTCCCTGTTTTTCTTTTTAGAAGAAGATGAGTAACTGTCTTACAAATGCCTTCTTACTAACAGAAACTCCTGGGTTCTTGATGCACACAAAATCCCCTAAACACAAAATATATCATGTAGATGTTCTTATGACAAGTTAGCTCATGTGGTCCAAACATGACAAGTGGGATATAACTGGAAGTGATGGGTACAGCTTGTACTTCATCTCACTAAGGGATATTCTTTCTTACATGCTTTCTAGCAGCTGGCAAACAGAGATGACTGGAGTGACCATGGTCATGGTAGAATTTTTCTCATCCATCCTGGATTTCCCAACTCTGGAGTATTTGTTTTAAAGAAAACAAATACCTACCTTACTTAGGCTATTATATTTGGGAGGGTTCCTGTGGCTAAATAATATGAGATTGCATCTTGAGGTGTTAATTTACATGAGTATTAAATGGTATTGTATAAATAGCATTTTATTATGGTTAGGTATTCTAATTTATAAAGCAACCTTATTATGGGAGAATGAAATATTTGCTAAATAGTCATTTGCAATTACTTGTTGTAAATATCAAATGCCAGAGTGCAAGTTTGGTGCAGCAGTTAAGATACTACATGGGATGCCCACATCCCATATCAGAATGTCTGCATTTGGGTCCCAGATCCACTCCCAGTTTCATCTTCCTGCTAATGTACACCCTGGGAGGCAGCAGTGAGAGCTCAAGTAGTTGGGTTCCTGTTACCCATGTTGGAAAACTTGGATGGAGTTTGCAGATCCTGGCTTTGACATGGCCCAGACACAGCCTTTACTGGGCATTGGGGGAGTGACCCTGCTGATGGGAGAGCTCTCTGTCTGCCTCTGTTATCTGATTCCTCTCTGTGTCTCTCTGCAGCTGTTAGAAAAAAAAAAAGATCAAGGCAATGCTATTGGTTAAATAAAATAAGAAAGGAGAAGAAATAAAATCCATATTTTATAGAGCTTGTATTGACAAAGGAACCAGAAACCTTCTCTTGAGAACTTGTGCTTGATTTTGTTATTGTTGTGTTTGTTTAACCCCTACATCGATCATCAGGCACTTAAATCTGCACCAGCTGGAAGTGGTTTGTAAGAAGCATGTTATTTCAAAAGTGGTACTGCAGTCTGACAATTGCAGCCATCTTGATTGTGATTGCCAGCTTGCCCTTGAGGTGACCATGGCAGTTATCCCAAATTCTATGAGATGAACAAGTTCATTAAGGTCATTTACTGAATGGTTACTTCTGGGCATGGAAGTCTGGGATATCTGTCTGATACCTGAAATATCTCTTATGTCATATTTCAAATGTTAATATTCCTTGGAAAAGTCCAAGTACATTCTAATTAGCCACAGATCACTTTCGTCTAACTTAGCATATAAGTTCTCTTTCTCCTACCTCCTAGATCCTCTCATCTTACTGACACAAATTCATGTTTTTGTCTCCCCCTCAGAATAATACTCTTTGTTATCTTGGATTTGTCCACCTCTTTCTTCAGTTTATTGAGACGTTCTACTTTGAGTAGTGCTTGTGTTTTTCAAATCATCAAGCATGGTAACATTTATGAGGGAACCTCAAAAAATTTGTAGAAGTGGAATTAAAGGTAAATTTATTTGGGGACAAAAATCTATGCTTAGTTTTTATAAAATCTATACTTAGTTTTTATAAAATATTCCCCTTTTATGAACTTTTGAAGACCCCTTATATCTGTATATTTAAAAATGCTTTTGTGACAATACAAATACACATTTGAATTCCATTTTCCCTGACATGTTTTAAGTGCCCATGAACAGCATTCATTCATATATGCTCTTTAAATATGAAGACCAAAAATGTAGTACCAGAAAGAAAAATTGAAGTAATTAAATGAACAAACTCAGAAATGGATATACTATAGAAAATTTCCACCCATCAGGCTGTTACCACTGATATACTACAATGGAGCCTTACCATTCTGGTCATTTAATTATTTCCTTTTCCAAAAGGACTTACTCTTAAGTTATTGGTTTTACATAATTATCAAAATTATAAGAAAGAAAAAGAAATTGGCAGACGTTTGCACTAGCAGTTAAAATGCTACTTAGGATACCCATATCTCATACTGTTGTATATGGGTTTGAATATGAGCTTTGGCTTGTGATTCTACCTTCCACTGATGCAGATCCTGGGAGGCAGCAGGTGATAACTCATAGTGGCTGCATCCCTGCCATTGACAAGAGACAAGGATTGAGTTCCTGACCCTCAGCTTTGGCCTGGGCTAACCTCAGCTATTGTGGGTATTTGGGGAGTGAATCAGTGCATGGCCACTCTCCCTTTCCTTCCCCAACTCGCCCCCCCCCATTTCTTTTTGTCTTTTTTTGCCTTCCAAAATTTAACAATATATATTAGTAACATATTAGTAATATGTATTTTTAGAATACAAAATCTTGGGGGTGGCATTGTGGCATAGCAGGTTAAGCCATTGCCTGCAATGTTGGCATCCCATATGGGTGCTTGTTCAAGTCCCAGCTGCTCCACTTCCAAAACCCAGCTCTCTGATGGTGGCCTGAGAAAGCAGGGGAAGATGGCTCAAGTGCCTGGGCCCCTACAACCACGTGGGATACCCAGAAGAAACTCTTGGCTCCTGGCTTCAGCCTGGCCTGGCCGTGGCCATTGCAGGGACTGAATCAGTGGATGGAAGAGTCTCTCTCTCTCTTTCTCTGCCCCACCTGCCGACTTGCAAATACATGAATAAACCTTTAAAGCTTTAAGAATAAATAAAATTTTTAAAAAGGCAAAATCTTGGGGTTAACATTTTGGTGCAGCTGATTAAACCACTGCTTACAAGATCAGAATTTCATACTAGATTGCTGGTTTCAGTCCCAGCTGCTTGGTTTCTAATTCAGTTCCCTGCTTAGGTACATGGGAAACGAGTGAGTGACAGCCCAAGGATTTGGACCTATGCCACCCACATGAGAGACCCAGATGGAGTTCTGGCCTTCTGACTTCAACCCGGTCCAGCATCAGCTATTGTGGCTATTTGGGGAGTGAACTAGTAGATGGAAGATTCTCTCACTCTCACTTTCACTGTCACTTTCTCTGTGTGTGTGTTTGTGTGCATGAGTTTCAAATAAATCTTTTGGAAAAAAACTTTTTAAAT